AATATGCTGACCCCCCCGCCGTCCTTGCCCAAAACAATATTATCCTGGCGAAGGACCCAACCATATGCAGTTGTGAGTATCGCAATTGTGAGTATCTTCTTCGGTGGCGTTCCCTATGGGGCCACGAACCGCATGAGGGGTGTGCCGAAATGTGGCGGGGTACACAACGCAAAGGAATACGATAGATCTGATTACGAAAGAAAGAACGCGGGTGAGTCAGAGCGCGAGGGAATCTGAGTATGAATGGGTCTGCGCGCGAATGAATATATTTGCATGAATGCGATCATGGAAGCGCCTAGTGTAAGTGTATATGAATGTGAATAGTTCGAGCATGCCTGTCCGAACACACGTGACACTGGGCGTGGCCGCCGCAGGCAGCTTCCGCGGGAACCCCGACGGCAGCGTCCGCACGTCGCGACGCCCATGTCGGCACGCCTCTTGTGAGGATCGCGCCCGCTTTCGGCTATTCTTTTCCTTCCTCTTTGCCCGCGCACTCCAAAATCCAAGGCTGCGGGCGCGGCGCAGCGCGGAGTCCCCGCGACGCGCGCTGGTCGCCCCGGGCGGGGCCCCAGCGACGCGCGCGGGTCGTCCGCTGCGCGAAGCAGAGAGAGCTGACTAGCTAACTGGCTGGCTGATAGCGGGCAAGTCTCTGACCGCTGGGCAGAGCGACGACGGGCGAACGAGGCGCCGGGCCCCCCGCAGCACGGAGTTCCCGCGACGCGCGCTGGTCGCCCCGAGAGGGTCCCAGCGACGCGCGCGGGTCGTCCGCGGCGCGAGGCCAAACAATTAGTCGGGCAGTCGAGAGAAGGCGCGGCTCGGGGGAGACGCTCCTCAGGTCAGGCCTCGCGGATGAACTCGGTGAAGCCGAGCTCCCTGGCGAGGGCCGTCGCTTCCCTCCTGCACCGCTTCGTGCGCGCCGCAAACTGCTCCAGCTGCTTCCGCAAGCCCTGCGGCGGCCCTGCCAGGAAGAACTCGATGCGCGGCGCCCGCATGAGCAGGAGGTCCTCGTGGCGCGTGGCGCGCGAGAGCAGCACGTAGAGCTCCAGCCACCAGTCGTCGTCCTCCTTCTTGCCGTTCCCTACCTCGTGGCGGCCGCAATCCAGGATCACGCCTGGGCGACGTCGACCGAGGGAGCAGCGCGCCGGGCAGCCGACGGCCCAGGGCGAGAGTCCACAGGACCGAGAGATGGTCTGGCCGCGGACTGCTCGCGCCCGGAGGTCTGGCCGCCCCCGGAGCGCCGTTTCTCCGCCCCGTCGCCTTCGCGCATGGTGCGCCCCTGGCACGCCACCGTGGTGATGACCCTGCCGTGCGAGAAATGCAAGGGGGGTGCCGAAATGGGTGGGGGTGACGCATGCGGGCGGCGGCACTGAGGCCTTCGGTGGAGCTCCCTATGGAGCCACGAAACGTGTGAGGGGTGTGCCGAAATGGGTGTGGGTGACGCATGCGGCCGCGGGCACTGGGGCCTTCGGTGGAGCTCCCTATGGAGCCACGAAACGTGTGAGGGGTGTGCCGAAATGGGTGTGGGTGACGCATGCGGCCGCGGGCACTGGGGCCTTCGGTGGAGCTCCCTATGGAGCCACGAAACGTGTGAGGGGTGTGCCGAAATGGGTGTGGGTGACGCATGCGGGCCGCGGGCACTGGGGCCTTCGGTGGAGCTCCCTATGGAGCCACGAAACGTGTGAGGGGTGTGCGCATGAAAGCTGGGTGTGGGGTGTGCCGACGCATGCGGCCGCGGGCACTGGGGCCTTCGGTGGAGCTCCCTATGGAGCCACGAAACGTGTGAGGGGTGTGCCGAAATGGGTGTGGGTGACGCATGCGCCGCGGGCACTGGGGCCTTCGCTCCCTACCACGAAGCGTGTGGGGTGTGCCGAAATTCGGTGGAGCTCCCTATGGAGCCACGAAACGTGTGAGGGGTGTGGATGTGGGTGACGCGACTGGGGCCTTCGGCGGAATGGCCACGAAACGTGTGAGGGGTGTGCCGAAATGGGTGTGGGTGACGCATGCGGGCGCGGGCACTGGGGCCTTCGGTGGAGCTCCCTATGGAGCCACGAAGCGTGTGAGGGGTGTGCCGAAATGGGTGTGGGTGACGCATGCGGGCGCGGGCACTGGGGCCTTCGGTGGAGCTCCCTATGGAGCCACGAAACGTGTGAGGGGTGTGCCGAAATGGGTGTGGGTGACGCATGCGGGCGCGGGCACTGGGGCCTTCGGTGGAGCTCCCTATGGAGCCACGAAACGTGTGAGGGGTGTGCCGAAATGGGTGTGGGTGACGCATGCGGCCGCGGGCACTGGGGCCTTCGGTGGAGCTCCCTATGGAGCCACGAAACGTGTGAGGGGTGTGCCGAAATGGGTGTGGGTGACGCATGCGGCCGCGGCACTGGGGCCTTCGGTGGAGCTCCCTATGGAGCCGAAACGTGTGAGGGGTGTGCCGAAATGGGTGTGGGTGACGCATGCGGCCGCGGGCACTGGGGCCTTCGGTGGAGCTCCCTATGGAGCCACGAAACGTGTGAGGGTGTGCCGAAATGGGTGTGGTGACGCATGCGGCCGCGGGCACTGGGGCCTTCGGTGGAGCTCCCTATGGAGCCACGAAACGTGTGAGGGGTGTGCCGAAATGGGTGTGGGGACGCATGCGGCCGCGGGCGCTGGGCCTTCGGTGGAGCTCCCTATGGAGCCACGAAACGTGTGAGGGGTGTGCCGAAATGGGTGTGGGTGACGCATGCGGCCGCGGCCACTGGGGCCTTCGGTGGAGCTCCCTATGGAGCCACGAAACGTGTGAGGGGTGTGCCGAAATGGGTGTGGGTGACGCATGCGGCCGCGGCCACTGGGGCCTTCGGTGGAGCTCCCTATGGAGCCACGAAACGTGTGAGGGGTGTGCCGAAATGGGTGTGGGTGACGCATGCGGCCGCGGCCACTGGGGCCTTCGGTGGAGTTCCCTATGGAGCCACGAAGCGTGTGAGGGGTGTGCCGAAATGGGTGTGGGTGACGCATGCGGCCGCGGGCACTGGGGCCTTCGGTGGGGCTCCTTTGGAGCCTCGAAACGTGTGAGGGGTTGTGCCGAATTGGGTGGTGATGCTGATGATGATGGTGATGATGATGATGATGATGATGATGATGATGGGAGGGGGGAGGAGGCAGCGGGAGGAAGGAAGGAAGGAAGGAAGGAAGGAGAACGCGGGGCACCGTCTCTTCAAAACGAGACCCAACACCACAGGATGGTTGGGAACAACGTTCTCGCGGGCTTCACGAACATGACTCCAAGAGTGTAGCCCAAAGTGTTCGATGTATTGTTTGTGACAGGGATGGTGGGGGGGGATGCGCATCGGGCTGGCCGTGCACGCCCCAACGTGGAGGCTCAGCGCGTTTTGTATTGTTTTTTGACAGGGATGGTGTGGGGATGGCCCTCATGGGGTTGGCATGGTTCTGGGTTGGCTGCCAGCCGGGTGGGTGAGGGCGTGTGTAGTAATAGCGAACAGTGATCAAGACATCCCCCAGATAGCAGCCGTCTAGCTCACTCCCACCTCCCACCCGCCCTCCCAACGCATAAGTAACACCCGAGCGTGAGCATGTCCAGCGGTCGCTTTTGGATGGGCAACTACTGGGAACCAACGCCGACCCCAGGTGCGCGACGCTGGGGCGAGGTGCGCCACGCGTGCCAGGCGCGCCACGCGCGCCAAGCACCCCTCGGGCCCGAGCGTACCAGGCACGCCTGGCGCGCCAGATGCACCACGTGCTCCGCGTGCGCCAGGTGTTCCGCATTACTCTAGCCGCGCCAGGTGCCCCACGTTCGGGGCACGTGCAGAGTGTGCCAGGTGTGCCTGCGCACGTGGCAGTACACATCGGAAACATGTCGGCCCCCACCACCCCTGTCGAAAACCAATGCGCGTTTCCATCCTTGTGTCTGGTGGGCCTGCGCACAGCAGGCTATACGCCACCACCCCCGCCGTCCCTGTCAAACACCTTTTGATACTGATCGCGGGGTGGCCGCGCATGATCCGGCTTTAGCCGCGAGGTGCATGTTGCATTGTTTTTGTTAGGGATAGTAGCCTTGTGCGCAGCAGGCAACATGTTGACACCCCCGCCGTCCTGTCAATCACAATACAAAGTACTCGCGGGCCTCACGAACATGACTCAAGAGTTTGCCCCAGAGTGTACTTTGTATTGTTTTTGACAGGGATGGTGGTGGGGGCGCATCAGGTTGACCGCGCATGCTCAAAAGTTAGAGGCAGCGTGCGTGTTGTATTGTTGTTGTCAGGGATGGTGGCGGTGGGGGGTCGCATCGGATTTGCCGCGCATGCTCCAACTGTGGAGGCAGAGTGCGTGTTGTATTGCTTGTTGAGAATGAGGGTGTGGGGGGGGGGGTGAGCATTGTTCCTGGATGGCTGCGGGTCGCTTGGTGGCGGGGTGCATATGAATAGGGAGGAGCGACAAACCCGCCCCCCCGAGCATGGTAAGAACTGGTTTTTACATGGGGAAATAGAGAGAGAGAGAGAAAGAGAGAGAGAGCGAAAGAGAGAGACCGAGAGAGAGATAGAGAGGACAACAAGATACTAGAAGGTACAATCCGTCAAACCACCGACGCCCAGAGGGCAGGTGGGATTGGGAGGAAGGTGGGTAGTGTGTTGTTCCGGCATGCCCATTTGGGAAGTTCCTTTTCGGTTCCCAGCCGTGGCCAGCATTTCCATGTACGCTGGTTCTTAGGCCTGGCCATTTCGTGTTACATGTAACCTGCAGCTTACTGGTCGTCGGGCGTCCTTTGGTGAGGGAGGTGGGGTAGACTCCACTGGCAGAATGACGAGATGTTGCCCTTGATACCTTCACGATTGTCCGCCTCTTTGCTCGCCGTGCTGATTTGTGGCTGATCTGTGGTGTTGCCACCATCGGTTCTTGTTATGTTTTGAGCTATGTTTGGCAGTCTCCTGGTTTCGTGCTGTACTCGCCTACGCCATCCCTCGCTTGCCCGCGCGATCTGCTCCCAATTTCGCATCCTTCGATGCAGTGAACAGGTATTCACCCTTGAGTACGACGTGTTGTGCCCAGCCGAGATGCCTCACTCATGGGGCGCTCCCGCCGCATCTGCACCAGTCCACGTGCATTGCTCGACCGTAGCGGGATGCACGGGTTGAGTTGAGTTTGCGCTTCTATTTGCCCCTCTTTGCATGATGGCCGTACCTCCGTTGAGGTTTCTCATGCATGCAATTGCAAGGGGCACAGCGGCGTTGTCTCTTATCGTCTGTGGTCGAGCATGGCAGCGCAGCTTTTGGCCTAACATCAGTTGCAGCTTCTTCTAGCACCAGACCGTTACGTGGCACGTCTGAAATCCCGGGGTTGCGGATGGTGATTGCGACGAAGGCCCTCACGATGACCTCGCCTGGAGGAAAGCTTCAAGCAGAGCGACTTGGCGCTGGAAGGAAAGAGGGGTTAGGGGGCCCGTCGTCGCAAACACAGGTGTAACGAGCACCGCCGTACCTCCTACCCACATTTGTGCTCGAAGGCTCTGAATGACGAACCAACAACACACACACACCCATATCCATAGGGGGTTCGGAGAGGGCTATGGGTGCGTGTTGTCGGATGGGGGTCCCCGCTCGAACGGGAGCGTTCCCCAGGGTCCGACAACCCGCACCCATACCCATAGCCAGTCCTCCTCCCAACGACCCTCCTATGGGTATGGGTGTGTGTGTTGTCCGTTCGTCTCTGAAGTCCTGGGAACTCAGGGCGACAGGGTCGACAGCCCAGGTCACACGCAGAGGCGCCGAGATGCCGCGCTTCGCTCTTCGCGGCATGTGCCGGAGAGCGGGCGCGAGGATCCTCGCGCTTCGGCGCGGCGTGCGGCGCGAGGCAGGTGGCCCAGAGCTTCTCAACAAGCGTCGGGGGGGCGTCACCCCCGCCGACAGCCCTACATGGACCCCCGTCGCGGGCAGCCACCGCGCGCCGAAGGCGCTCCGACCCCCGTCGCGGCGCGACGACGAGGCAAGGTTGACCCCCGTTGGAGGGGTACCCCCCCACGTTTGTTGAGAAACCCAGGGTAGCCAGCGCGTGGCAGCCTGAAGTGCATGACTGTTGAAAGGCCCGATTTGCCAGCAGTGTTCGAACGTGGCAGCTTTAGCGGGATCGCACCAAATTTGGGTGCAACCCCTGTCGACAATCTGACCCCCGACCTAGCAACCCGTGGACAAGGAGGTGGTGGTTTCGATTCGCCCGGAGCTAATCAATGTCTTTGGTGGTGCCTGCGTTCCCAATCTGCAGATTGACGCATCCAGGCGAGACCAGTGGCTGAGCTTCAGCAGTGGGCGGTCAGCCCGGGGGGGGAAGCGAGAGGGAGCGGGAGTCCCCCGGCCGTCTGGGAAGTTGTTGAAGCTTCCCCCGAAGGCACGACAATTTTTCCAGAGGCCCGGAGGACTTCTGAGAAGCCCCGCCGCCCTCTGAGAGGGCCTTCCCCTCCTCGCGTCCCCCCCTCGCTCGCCGCCGAAGTGTCTTTGGTGGTGCCAGCGGCCCGAGCCTGCAGGGTTGGCGCACACAGGCGAAGCCAGGGGCTGAGCTTCAGCAGCTCGAGGGTTCACGAGCACGAGGTTATAACAAAAAAACTTCGGGCTCCTTGAGGGAAAAACAAACCCTCGAGAACAGAAGCGATGGCTTTGTGTACGCCCCTTCTCCTCCTCCTCCTCCTCCTCCTCCTCCGCCGCCCCTCCGGTGAAGCCTGGCACCCGTTCTCATGGTGTCAGTGCCGAGCTTCCTCGGGGCACACTGCACACGGCACTTATTTCGCAGGTTGGGCGGGGTGCGACCGGCCGATTTTTCTGAAACCGCGGGCTCTGGGGCTTGGGGTGGACGTTGCGAAACCTGTATCGACGGGTCTCCCGTCGTTGGGTGTAGCACGGCCCCAGTCTCAGCCTGGCCCTGCTGGTGAAGGCCGGTGGCGGCGCTTGTGCGGTCATTCCATTGTGATCCGACCACCAGGGATCGGCATTTCTTCGGGATGCGGTGGCTGGTGCCGCGTGAGTCCCAAAGGGCCTCGTGCCCACCCAGGGCTGGGGAGTTGTGCTCCTCAGTATGCCGTGCCAGCGGTTCTGGCTGGGATGCCTTTGGCTCCCAACGCACCATGTCCGAACCGCTGGGCCGCCAGTCTTCACAGGCGACGTGGTCCCCCTCTATGCCCTTCCTGCGCAGCTGTTGCTGCTTTCCGGGCGATCGTTCGCTGGCTGGGCGTGCGCAAGACACGTGCGGCCTTCGGGGGACCGACCCTGGGCGCCGGACTCGTCCTCCTCCTCCTCCTCCTGCTCCTCCTCCTCCTCCTCTCCTCCTCCTCTCCTCCTCCCCCTCCTCCTCCTCCTCCTCCTTCCCGTCCTCCTCCTCCTCTCCTCCTCCTCCTCCTCCTCCTCTTATTCCTCCTCTTCCTTCTCCTCCTCCTCCTTCTCCTCCTCCTCGACCTCCTCCTCCTCCTCCTCCTCCTCCTCCTCCTCGTCCTCCCCCCCGCCCCTCCTCCTCCTCCTCCTCCTTTTCCTCCTCCTCCTCCTCCTCCTCCTCCCCATCCTCCTCCTCTCCCTCCTCCTCCTCCTCCACCTCCTCCTCCTCCTCCTCCTCCTCCTCCTCCTCTCCCTCCTCCTCCTCCTCCGCCTCCTCCTCCCTTCCTTATTCCTCCGCCTCCTCCTCCTCCTCCTCCTCCTCCTCCTCCTCCTCTTCCTCCTCTTCCTCCTTCTCCTCCCCCTCCCCTCCTCTTCTCCCCCCCTCCTTTTTCCTCCTTTTCCTCCGCCTCCTCTCCCTCCTTCCCTTCCTCCCCCCCCCCCTCTCCCTTTTTCCTCCTCCTCCTTCTCCCCCTCCTCCTCTTCCCTCCCGCCTCTCCTCTCCTCCTCCTCCTCTCCTCCTCCTCCTCCTCCTCCTCCTCCTCCTTCTCCTTCTCCTCTCTCCCTCCTCCTCCTCCTCCTCCTCCTCCTCCTCTCCTCCTCCTCCTCCTCCTCCTCCTCCTCCTCCTCCTCCTCCTCCTCTTCCTCCTCCTATTCCTCCTCTTCCTCCTTTCCTCCTCCTCCTCCTACCCTTCCGCCCCCCCCTCCTCCCCCCCCTCCTCCTCCTCTTCTCCTCCTCCTCCTCCTCCTTCTCTCCGCCCCCTTCTACTCCTCCTCCTCCTCCTCCTCCTCCTCCTCCGCCTCCTCCTGCCGTTCCCCCTCTTCCTACCTTCTCATCTCCCATGTCCTCCTCCTCCTCCATTTCTTCCTCCTCCTCCGCCTCTTCCCCCTCCCCCTCCTCCTCTTCCTCCTCCTCCTCCTCCGTTTGTTTCTCCTCCTCCTCCGCCTTCCTCCTCCCCTTCCTCCATCCCTCTTCCTATCCTTACGGCCCTCCCGCGGCGTTCGTTCATGCCTGCGTCCGAATACTCCGGTAGTTTCGCCATGCGTTTCGGCGTGCCTCTTGCGAGGTTTGCTGCTCATCTCGCGGACCTTGCGAATGTGGTGACCTGCGCCTTTCTTGCTTTCTCTCTGGCGGCAAATTGCTAGAACGGGGGAGGAGCAGGATGAATATGAGGAGGAGGGAAAGGAGGAGGAGGGCTCGGGCCGAGTAGGGGGAACAACACCAGGAGGAGGAAAGGGAAGAGAAGGCGGGAAAGGATGACGAAGAGGATGAGGAGGAGGAGGAGGAGGAGGAGGAGGAGGGGGAGGGGGAGGGGGAGGGAACGAGGAGGACGATGGGCAAGACGCGAGGCACATCCACAACAGACCGTGCGTGCACATATGTACGTATGTTTGTTTGTTTGTTTGTTTGTTTGTATTTATGTATGTATGTATGTATGTATGTATGTATGTATGTAAATGTGTATATTATAGACGCTCCGAGTTTCTCAATAAGCGTCGGGGGGGCGCGCCGACAGCCCCGCATCGACCCCCGTCGCGGGCAGCCACCGCGCGCCGAACGCGTTCCGACCCCCGCCGCGGCGCGATGACGCGGCGAGGTTGACCCCCCGTCGGGGGGTACCCCCCGCGCTTACTCAGACACCCAGAGTATAGGAGGGGCTGCGCCCTCTGCCACCAACACCCGCCCTAGCATAACTGGATATACCAGAGCTGCATGGGGACGTCCTGGCGCCGTCTTGAGATCACCTTCAAGGGACATCCTCCCCCTCCCCCTCCCCCTCCTCCTCCTCCTCCTCTCCGCCTTCTCCCCCTCCCCCCCTCCTCCTCATCCTCCTCCCCCTCCTCCTCCTCCTCCTCCTCCTCATCCTCCTCCTCCTCCTCGTCCTCCCCCTCTCCTCCTCCTCCTCTCCTCCTCGCTCCTTCTCCTTCTCCTCCTCCTACTCCTTCCTCTCCTCCGCCTGCTCCTGCTCCTCCTCCTCCTCCTCCTCCTCCTCCTCCTCCCCCTCCTCGTCCTGACCTTGTCCTCCTCCTCCTCCCCCTCGCCCTCCTCTCCTCCTTCTCCTCCTCCTCCTCCTCCTCCTCCTCCTCTTCCTCATCCCCTCCCCCTCCTGCGCCCCACTGCGCTGCTCGGCAGAGAGCAGCATCAGGCAAGGAAGACTGGCAATCACCAAGACGCATTGAGATGCTGGAGGTGTGGTTGATTTCCTTGTTGCCTTCTCGGAGCGGTTCCTTCGCGCTGTGGGTTGGAAGCCTTGTTGGAACGACAGGGGGGCTGCTCGAGGCCATGTTTGGGAACCCCGCGTGGTTGGGACTGTTTTTGCGTTCCTTTCAATGCTTGTGACTCGCGCCTGCGGGTCCAGTGCAGGATCTTCAGGCAGCGCCGTGGTGGGGCGGACGGCGCCCTCCGAGCACGCATCCCGACACAAGAAAGTGATAGCACTTCCTTTCTTGGAGAAGGGATGTTTGGTAGCCTCTGCGGGTTGGGTTCGTACAGTCAAAAACCCTAATACGGACGCGCGATTTTGCTCAGGGTACCCTTGCGTCTTTGCTCTTCCTTGCCCTTGCGTCCTTGAGGTTTTCGCCGTCCACCGCCCCAAAAATCCAAACTTCGGCTTCCAAGGGTCTTGCGTCCTTACCGCGCGTCCTTATTAGGGTTGTTGACTGTAACCTCGGGGGCACGGGCTCTTCGCAATGTTCCAACAATGCGTCGTGGGCACCAATCTGTTCTAACCTGTGAAGGGTTGTGCCTTCGGGAGCGCGAGTTTTGTGCACTTGACAAGGGATTGTGGCCTCGGGAGCGCCGACCTGTATTACTCTATGAGGGATCGTGGCCTCTGGGGCGCGAGCCAGCAATACTTTCCAACAGGCTGTGGCCTCGGGTGCATGAATCTGGGGCAGTGTGCTCGGGATGGGGGCTTTGGGAGCGCGAGCTCGTAGTACTCTACCAAGGGGTCGTGGCCTTTTGGGCGCGAGCCTCAAGTCATCAGAGTGAGGGTACCGAACGGTCATTCATTGTCCCTGGGTGCGTGGTTGAAGTGAGAATCCGTGGTGAGGATTATGCTTGTTGCATTGGTGTTGTTGGTATTGTTGTGTCTGTTGTTGTTGCTGTTGCTGTTGCTGTTGTTGTTGCTGTTGTTGTTTTTGAACTCTCTGAAAAATAATTATTGTTGATCCCCCCTCACCGGTGCATACTGTTTTTTCTAAATCAAAGTGTGCCCCTCGACGCTCGCACCTTGTTTTTTGGCAGGGGAAATCTTGATGCTCAAACTGTGCCCCTGGCCCCCCGGATTACAACAACAACGCTCCCGCCTGAGACTTCCGCCAAATTTACTCAGGACCCCCGCTCCCGCTTTAGACTTCCTCACAATTTACTCAGGATCGGTGCTGCCGCCTGTGACGTCTTCGCAATTTAGTCAGGACCCCCGCTCCCATCTGAGACTTCTTCACCATTTACTCAGGAGCGGCACTCCCGCTTGACTTCGTCGCAATTGAGTCAAGACTTCCTCGCAATTTAATCAAGACCCCTGCTGCCGCCAGAAAACCCTTCACATGTTATTCAGGAATTGCGCTCTCGCCTGTGACTTCCATGCTATGTATGCAGAAACCGCGCTGTCGACGCTCAGGAAACACGCTGCGCCAAGGACGCCGTCACAATTTACGTAGGAATCGCGCTCTCGCCATACTCAGGCATCCCGATTGAATGTCCCACCCGCCCGACCCGCCCGTCAGGAGATCGCTCGCCCGTCGTGGGCTCCCGCCCGAGACTTCCTTCAGGAACGGCGCTTCCGCCTAGGACTTCCTCGAACGTTCACGCTCTTGCCTTCCTGCTCCTCCTCCCTCTCCCTCCTCCCTCCTCCCTCCCCTCCTCCCTTCTCTCTCCCTCCTCGCTTCCCTCATCCTTATGACTCTCTGCCATATCCCCTCTTCCTCCTCTGCCTCTCTGCCATATCCCCTCTTCCTCCTCTCCCTCCTCCCCTCTCCCTCCCCTCTCCTGCCTCCCCCCTCTCTCTTTCTTTCTCTCTCTCTCTCTCGCTCTCTCTCTCTCTCTCTCGCTCTCTCTCTCTCTCTCTCTCTCTCTCTCTCTCTCTCTCCCCTCTCTTATTCTCTCTCTCTCTCTATCTCTCTTATCTGGCTGTCTTTCTCTCTCTCTTTCTCGCCCTGCCTCTAATCAACCGCCCCCTTCTTCGCTCCTTCTCTCCTGGCGGGTTCCCTCTTCCTTTGTCCCTCCCCCTCCCTTCCTCCCACTCTCCCTCGTTCTCCCCATCTTTTTGCAGGGCCCACACCAATTCCAATGGCGGGCACATGTACGCCCTCGAAGGGATTGTCCGCCCGTTCAGGTTTGCCCGCTTGTCTAAGCCCGCCGCCCCCCGGACAGCGAAATCATCCCCCCAAAGAGGGTGTGGTCGACGACGAAAAGGGCGGGTATCGAGGGTGTGGGGACCTCATTTTGAACGACACATGGGCAACTAAGAGCGAACAGTCTTATAATGATTGTTGTTGTTGGTGTTGCTGAGGCTGCTGTTGTTGCTGTTGTTGTTGTTGCTGTTTAAAGTGATTGTTAGTGTTGCTGTTGTTGTTGCTGTTGTTGTTGCTGCTGTTGTTGCTGCTGTAGTTATTGTTGTTGTTGCTGTTGTTGTTGTTGTTGTTGCTGTTGTTGTTGTTGTTGTTGTTGGTTGTTGTTGTTGTTGTTGTTGTTGTTGTTGTTGTTGTTTGTTGTCGTCGTCGTCCCCCGCGACCCCCCGCGACTTGACCAACCCGCGACCCACCCCGCGACCCACCCCGCGACTCACCCGCGACTCACCCGCGACCCACCCGCGACTAGCCCGCGACCCACCCCGCGACCCACCCGCGACCCATTCGCGACCCAGTCGCGACCCACCCCGCGACCCACCCGCGACCCACCCCGCGACCCATCCGCGACCCACCCGCGACCGATCCACATGGGTTTGAAGAAAAATCGACGCTTGCGGCGGGCTCGTTGTATAATTTGTAAAATTTTGGCGCCTACGGAGGGCTTCTCCAGAGTTTTGCAGACTGCCGACGTCCCCACCGCCCCCTCACTCCTATCCGCATCTGCGGGGTGCGACGTACTTTTCCCAGGAGCGTGGCAGCCGGGGCGCGCACCTGGCTTGATTCACTCAGGTCTTCGTGGCCTCGGTGGCGCGATGCTGGCGTCATGACGTAAGGGCGGTGAGCTCTGGGGGCACGAAGTTGGCGTACAGTGGAGACCCATGCCACGAAAAAGCCCGCTTGCCTCCAGGGTGCCCTGTTTGTTTGTGGGGGGTTTTGATAGCCCTGCTGTGGAAAAGCATAACGCTCCCTCACCCAAATATGACGGGACAGCATGGGGTCTCAGGGCTGGGTTTCTTGTGGAAGGTGTGTGGCCTGACCCCCACGGTAGTTCAACAGTGGGCCGTGGCCTCGCCTGGGGCGAGCCTGAAGCACGCAAGGGGTGGTGGCCTCTTCGGGGGCACGAGCCCACGGCAGGCTGCAGAAGGGATCATGGCCTCGGGGACGCAGGAGCCTGCCCATCGATCGTTGAAAGTAGGTGTGTTTGGCTTCCCAGATTCCAATCTGCTCTGAGCGCCCTCCTGCTTCAACGATCGAGGTGCTTCACCTTTTCCCGTCCTCCTCGGGGGGCGGGCGGAGCCCAGTCTGCTTCCAACGCCTTCCTGCTTCAGGCATCCACCTACCTCATCCGACCGATGGGTAGCTTCTTGAACCACGCAGCATAACCCACTACAGGTGCAATCAGTACTGGTTCTCAACCTGCTCAAGTTTGATACGGGATACAGCTATCATGCACACAACTCTACGCCGATGTTCTCGGAATACCTCCCGATAGACCTCGAACCACAAGCTCCCGCCGATGTTTGCCAGGGGGGTCGTGGCACCTCGGGGGGCGCAGCGCCGGAGCAGTCTCTGCAGGGGGTCGTAGTTAGCCACGGGGGCGCGCGGCGGGCGGAGCCTCTGCGCAGGCTCGTGCCCTCGGGGGCGCGAGCCAGGTGCACAGTGGAGACCCAGGCCAAGAAACCAGGGCTCGAGCTAAACGGTGTTTTGGCAATTTCGTGGACCGTTTTCGTTTTGACTTCGTTTTGCAGCAAATGTGGAACGAAGACAAGGCTAGGGATAACGAAAACAAGACGAACACGGAAAACAGTTTAACTCGAGCACTGCAAGAAACACGCTGCTCGCCTCCCTCGAAGAACAAAAACACACAAACATAAACTTTTGGCGCTCCGCGCTGATTTCTTGGATCCGCGCCTGGGCCCCCCAGCGGCGCCTCCGGCGCCGCCCCTGGCGCGCACCGCGCGCCAGGGAGGGGGGTCCAGCGCGGTTCCAAGCAATCCGCGCGGAGCGCCAAATGTTTATGTTTATGTGGTTGTTTCTTCTTCTACTCCAGGGTGCTCCCGGTTTCGTGGGTTTCGGTGGTTTAACTATTGAGAGCGTTGCGCTCCCGCACCAAACATCGGTGGACGTCCTGGGGTCTCAGGGCTGGGTCTCTTGTGGAGGGTTTCTTGTGCTCGAGCCCCCTCTGTAATCCAAAAGGGTTATAGCCTCGGGGCCGCGAGCACCTGGCGTACTTTCCAGAAGGCTTCATGGCCTCGGGGCGCACTTCTGACCCGACCTCGGGGGCATGCAAGAACGGATCATCGTGACCTCGGGGGCGCGAGTCCGGCGCGTTTTGCTAGCGCTCGTGGCCTCGGGAGCCCGCATCTGGTGCGATTTGCGAGGGATCGTGGCGTAGTGGGCGCCAGCCTGGCGCAATTCACGCGGCATCTCGAGGCCCTGGGGCCACGAGGCTGAGATGATTCATGCGGGATCGTGGTCTCTTGAGTCTTGGGACCGGGGAGTTCTAAGAACCCCAGAGGGTCGGGGGCGGCAAAGAGGGGGGTGATGACTAGGGGTAGGTGGATATCATGGCGGGGGCCATGATATTGCCCCAGATTTCATGGCGCCTCTTCTTGCTTCACTACGTCCCTGGCCCCCCCGCTGGGCCGCCCACATGCCGCCGGTCATGATTTGCCCCCCCCCTCGTGGACACCCCCCTCTTGTCCGCTCCCGAGAGGGGGAAGGTGAGAGGGTGGTTTTGTGATGGGCCATCGGCCCTGGAGCTCCAGTGGATCCGAAAGAGAACTCGACGTCGCCTCGAGTCCGCAGGGGATACCCTCAACACGATGGGGCATCCAGTGAGAGGGGGAGAAGGGTCCGAACGTTCATATTTACACAAACGTACTTTCGGAGGTCGGCGCGGATTTCTTGGGATCGGCGCTGGGCGGCCCCGGCGACGCCTCCGGCGCGGCCCAAGGCGCGACCCGCACATTAGCAAGGGCTCCCTCGAGGGCGCGAAGTTATTCGCGCTTCGCGGTCCTCGTTCCTTCTCCCCCTCCTCCTCGTCCTCCTATTCTCCCTTTGGGGGGGCGGCGCGAGGGCGCGAAGTTATTCGCGCTTCGCGCTTCGCGCAGCGCGAAGCGCGAAGCTGGGAGCCCTTGATTAGGGAGGGGTGTCCAGCACCGATCCAAGAATCCGCGCGGACCTCCGACGGTGCGTATTTTTGCTGTTCTTAAGGTTCTAAACCAGGGGCCCCCAAACGGGGTGGTGACCACACCGTGCGGTGAGTCGGTGGGGATTCGGGGTCACCGCACGGTCTTGGGACTCGAGTCCCTCTCCGAGGATGTCTCGGGCGACAGGGGCCTCCGAGGTCCCAAAACCGTTCGTTGACGGACCGTGCGGTGAGGTCTTGTGGGATGTCGAGGTCACCGCTTCAGTCTGTCACCGCACCGTTTCGGGACTCCAAACTAAAGAAGGATGGACGTTCTTGCAAGGTCTAGGGGGGGCACAGGAGGGAAGGTGTTCTCCCCCTTCTCCGCATGCGGCGTTCTGCCCGTCTTTGCACGATGAACCACTGATATATCTAGGCGATGGCAGTCGACTCTATGATTGCTGGCGATTGTTTCGGTCACTGAGCTGTCTGGAATATGAAACAGTTCGGAAACGGGAACATATACATTGCCAGTGGCGGGCTGTTCCTCAATCCCAGGACTTCTTGATGGTCGAGGACGACGCTGGGGTGGTGTGGTCTATATATTTTTTCCCTCGATGTCTCGGGAAAACAACGAAACATGTATACACCAGGGTCCCGTATACACCAGGATCCACCCTCCAGTGTTAGTTCCAATGCAGGGCCGGAAGACGCTTCGGTGCATAGAGTTCGATTCCCTAGTAGTGTTTGCAGGCGTCAGACCAGGGGGGTGTGGGTGGTATGTCGGCCAACGGTGTGCATTCTCGTTTCCACTCCGCTTGCCCGCGGCCCACGTGCAGAAAGTTGCGCAAGTCCTGAGCAGGTTCCAGCGTCTTTGAATTACGAGTGCGTCAACAGGCGGCGAGGAGGAAATGGAGGAATCTGAATATTTATTACGCATGGTGGAACATTCGCATTTGAACGGATCTTCAGCTGCATTGCAATTGCAACGCTTGGCTCATTGCGTCATGGTTCGCGTCAATGTGCTGTTCTGGACCTAATGTTTGAACGTGGTAATGGTACCGTGCACACGTAGCTAAACGAAACCACCAGCGAATCATTCCCGTATTGTTTTGTTCATTTTTGAGGTCGCCCCCTCTCCGCCCTAGGATCGGACCACACATCCTGCCATGCCAATCGCAGACCGTGAGGTACACTTCCATGGTGGCTTGTGTCATACACATCGTGGACCCCCGCGAGGTGCCGTTCGCGACGCACGAGATGATCACGGTGCCCCCTCGTGTTTCTCCCTGGGTTGTGTCGGGCATATTCTGTCGAGGGAGCCCTTCAGAGCGCCTCGCTACACTCTTGCTCAATTGCCACTCCAACGTGTCAATTCGAAGCACACCTTCCCACGATGTTGCCCAGTGTGCTCATTTCCCGATGGATGGAACCAGCCGCGTCTTGGTTGTATCCGTCCTCGGGTGTAGCCAATTGAGCAACGGAGGAAAACGGGGTCGGTCGCGCCGACCTTCAGCGCGTAAGCTGTCCGCGTAGGGTAGCGCGTGAGCGCCCTCGTTTCCAGCGCAGCGTGCCACGCTGACGGCCCGCGCAAGCCACCGCGCAGAATCGCTATGCCATCTTGCTCAAGATGCGGGCTCTAAGCTTGGCGTCGTTCGGACGTGTGCATGTTTCTCTCGGCGAGGACCATCGAGGAGCATCCTTGATCATTTGGCGAAAAAAAACGCACGAAACCGAAAAAAAACAGGGAATGAACGTCCGAGAGATGGCCAGTAAGAATCTGCACCACCACCACCACCTCCATTCCCCCTCCCTCCTGCGCCCTCCTCTTCCCCGCCCTCCCTCCTGGGCGAGGCATGGGGGTGGTGGTGGTGGTGGTGGTGGTGGTGGTGGTGGTGGTGGTGGTGGTTGTGTACATGTTTCGTCGCTTCGTTGTCCAGCAGCGTCTGGATCTGCACGTCCTTTTCGCCCACGCCGCAGAACAGGGCTGTACCGAAACGCTGTTTTGCTGCACTTCGGCTGTGTTTAGTTTTTTCGTTTTGGGAGAGAGGTACAGGAAAACAGGTAGAGCACAACGAACAAAAACACGAAGACAACACGACAAAAAACGTCCCCCTCGTCGCAGAGTGCGTCCTGGGCCCCGTAGAGGTGCAAAAATGCCTCCCTGTGGCCCAGGCAGGAGGGCCTACACGCGACTCCTGGGCCCAGGCTGGGCCAGGCCTGGGGCAGCGGAGATGTCTTGATCTCGTCGCCCTTCCATGCTCCTGGAGCTTGTTTTTTTAGGGTCCGGCGATCGCCCGGGTTATCGGGCTTGCCCCCCCCTCCCTCCCCCATGATAACCTAACCTTGCCGGTTGTGCAGGTCCGCGGGGGGGGGGGGGGGGGGGCGCGGGCACATGCAGGGCTGCCCACAGCGCGAGGGTTAGGTTATCGGCCGGCCCCCTCCTCCCCCCTTGGATAACCCCGGTTATCGCCGATTCAAAAAAACGGGTCTCCTTGAGTAGGAGGAGGAGCAGCAGGAGGAGGAGATTACTCCTAATGAGACCTACTAGTCGTTCACCTGTTGGAGTAATGATGTTCGGGTGCATCTGTTTTCGACGCGTGACTTGTGAAGGTCAGGACCCGATCAGCGCAGTTGCAGCCGCTTCGAGACGATCGATGGGGCCAGTATTCCGCAAAAGTGGAGCCAGTCATTGAGTCCCAGGCTAAGTCGCCTTCTTTTTCCTCCCACCTGCTTCGCCTGCTCCGCCTGATGGAGGTGTCCTTTCGTCAAGCTCGAGCTGGCCGGTGCTGCTTTTGCTCCTCCTCAGCTGCCGCCCGCCCCCGCTCCTGATCCACGCCCTTCAGGCCTCCCTCCTCCCTCCTTCCTGCCCACCTCGTTCTCCTCGTCCTCCTCATCCTGTCCGCACTTCCCATCCGGATTTTCCCAGCTGCCTGTCTTGATGCTGAAGAATTGGTTGATGGAGTCATTGATATGGGGCAGGGGAAATCCTGAAGTTCTTGAACGTGGCCAGTCGACGATGATGGTCCTGGCGCCGATACATATCTTGACATCCTGAAGCGAGCTTCAGGTTTTGATATTGTCGCATGAGTCCTCTTGCTCCTATCGTGTCCTTGCGCCATGCGCTGCTTCAGCTCCAGAACTGCTCTTCATGTTTGCCATACTGACTCATGGATGCATTGCTCATCCATTGCGTTCTTCACACACGCCGGGGAAGGCCAACACGGCGGAAGTGGCCGTTAGAGAAGAAGATATTGGTTTGTGCCGCGAGGCTCCGATCTCCTGTCTTTTGGCCTCTCTTGCGGGTGATGGTGGCCGGCAGTGCCAGTGCCCTCACAAGGAATTGTCACCTTTTTTGTTGTTTCCTTACCCCGTATGTCCGCTATTCGTTGTGATTTGTCAGTATCGTTCGTACCGCCCGTGCCAGCGGATGAATCCTGCCATCCTTGGGCGCTGGTCTGCGCGCTCTCGGCGGCGCTGGGCCGCCAGTATCTGGCATTGGAGTTCCGCGTTGGATGTTGCTAGAAGTGGTCCTGGCCCAAGGTGTCCCCAGGAGTTCCAAGGAGGCCCCCACGGCCTCCAGTGTACCCCTCACGAGGTCCAGAGGGCCCCATGGGCTCCAACATGGAACCAAAGCTGGGGGCACCTTAATCCGGGGGCACTTCTGGCAGCACCCGACCGTGGAGGAGGATGGGGCGCGAGGGACGCTGAAGCAAGGCTTAAGTCGGGCGTGTCCCTCGTCAGGAGGAATGTTCAAACGTAGTTCAAACACAGTCTGGGGAGTTTTTTGTTGTCAGTTCAGAAATAGTTCAGACATAGTCCAAACATAGTTCAGAACATAGTCTACATAGTTCAAAAAAAAACAGTTCAGACATAGTTTTTGACTATGTTCGACACTTTGTTGGTTGTTTTTCGAGTTTTTGTTTTGGTTCGTCCGAAATCCGCCTGCGGGAACACATGCCCGACCTGAAGCAGGGCGGGAGGAGATGGGATCGGGCAGGCGGGGGGAGGGGGAGGGACAGCTGCGGGGCCGGAGGGGAGGAGCAGGGAGGAGGAGCGGAGGGAGGGAGGAGGAGTAGGAGGGAGGAGGAGCAGAGGAGAGGAGGAGCAAGAGGGAGGAGGAGGAGGAGGGAGGAGCGGAGGGAGGAGGAGCAGGAGGGAGGAGCGGAGGGGTGCGGAGGGAGGAGGAGCAGGAGGGAGGACGCGGAGGCGCAGGGAGGAGCAGGGAGAAAGGGGCAAGGAGCAGGAGCGGGGGCAGGAGGAGGAGGAAGAAGAGGAGGAGAAGGAGGAGGAAGAGGAGGAGGAGGAGGAGGAGGAGGAGGAGTCGCAGCAGGAGCAGGGGGAGGAAGGACGAGCAAGGAGGAGCAGGAGGAGCCGTGGAGGAAGGGGGGGATGCGGGGGGGAGGAGGACAAGGAGGATGGGGTGGAGGAGGAGGACCGGGAAAAGATAGATGACGAGGGCGATAGTATCCCATCTGGCTGCTGCTTCCATAATGGCGACACCCTGGCAGCTCAATACTCCAAACATCATATGTCAAGAGGAAATAGTAAGTGGAGCCTCGCGGCGGGGGATAAACTCGTCCCTCCTCCTCGTTCTCTTCCTCCGCCTCCTCCTCTGTTGTTGTGCGGCGGGTGCCGCGGAGAAATATTGATTTCCAACTAGTGGTGGGACCCACGTCCGTCAATAAGGTCGTCGAAAAGACAATTAGTTTCCAACTACTGGTAAGGATTAGAAAGGCCAATCGAGGTTACTGTGCTGTATTTATGGAAGGCCATACGGGATGCCACACGGGAGTCCATGTGGCAGACCATACGGGAGACAATGAGTTTCGGGCCAACGATTCCGAATGCTCAGGAGTTCACATGTGTGCATTGACATAGTATCAGGTTTATTCATATCTATACGAGGTTCTGAGGGGGGGAACCATTTGATGACAACCGCGATGATTGTGATGGGGACTATCCTGGTTATGCGCCCGCGAGATGTTCTCCAGACGCCACCTGCACACCACTGTGACACCATCGGGACACCTGCTGGACACCATCGAGACACCATCGGGACACCATCGGAACATCAATCGGGGCACCATTCGGGACAGTAATCGGGACACCACAGGGACATCATCGGAAAACCACCGTGACACCATCGGGACGTCATCGGGACACTATAGGGACACCATCGGGACACAGCGGGACACACGGGACACCACGGGATACCATCGGGACAGCATCGGGATTGCATTGGGACACCACCGGGACACCATCATTGGGACACCAGCGGGACACCACCAAGACATCATCTGAACACCATCGAAACACCGCAGAACACAAATGGGCACCACGGGAATCCACATGATTTAATCGTGAGATCACGGCGGGACAACCCCTCGGCACGGGCAGACAACTTGTGGCTTTTTTGGAGGGGGGGCTCGGCGGTGCTCTAGCCAGAGGAGGGTTCATTCATCCTCGCCCGCCCGCGCAGCTTCGCATCGCCCGCACGCGCGACACGAACACGGAACCGAAACTAAGTTCTTGGTAGGGGGGTATCCGTTTCACTTCGATCTCACCCCCAACCTACAAATCTTATGGGGGAGGGGGCCTGGGGGAACACAGGGAGGAGCAACATCATGATGAGTAGGATCTGAGGGGGCAGGACGAAATTGACCAGGACTCCACGAGGTGGTGGAGGAGGAGGAGGAGGAGGAGGAGGAGGCGGACGAGGATGAGGATAAGGAGGAGGTGGAGGATCAGACGCGACGACTCACGCTAGCCTCTTTTGGTGCAGCACGGAGGAATAGGAGGAGGAGGCGGCGGAGGAGGAGGAGGAGGAGGAGTAGGAGGATCGGCCTTGCCATCCGCCCCCTCGGCGGCGGTGTGGTCAACGTCTGGCCGAGGCAGGCCCAGTGGACCACTGCTGGCAGCCCCGTGGTCGGGGAGCCCCTGTCACAGGCGACGCTGCCGTGGACCACCGCACGGCGGGCGTCACGCTGCCCGCCCCAGGCCGCGCTGCTGTTGCCCCGCCACAGGCGCGGGGGACCTCTGGGTGCGTCCCTGGCAGCGGCCCTCCGCCCGCACACGCCCGCCGCCGTGGCTGCCGCTGCGGGCCTCGCCGCCGCCCCGCGCCCCCCCTGGCGGGCGGCGAGGGGGCGGCTGCCGGGCCCCAGCGCCAGCGCCGCCGCCCCTTGCCCCCGGCGCTTCTCTCCAGCAGCTCGAGCCGTCCCCCGGAGCGAGGGGGGCGCGACCGCCGCCAGGCCGCAGCGGCCAGCGCGCGGCCGCCGCGGGATTCGTGTGTTGCCTCTGCGATCGGATGCTGGCGCCTCTCTCTCTCTCTCTCTCTTGCCGTCGCCGTCGCCGTCGCGGTCGCCGTTGCGCGCCGCCACTGCGGGCGGAGCGACTGCGAGCGGAGGCCGGCGCGGCGTCGCGGGGGCACTGAACACTGTTGTGCGGTCGCGTCGCCCGGCCCAGGTAGGCAGTGCGGGCCCGCGCGCAGGGCCCATTGCCCTGCTGCCAGAGCCGCAGTGGAACGGAGCCACGCCTGCCCTCTGCCCAGGCAGCGGCACAAGACGCGCCACCTGGGCGCGCACGACCAGACCAGACGAACATGAGGAGGAGGAGGCGGAGGAGGAGGAGGAGGAGGAGGAGGAGGCGGAAGGGGAGGAGGAGGAGGGGAAGGGAGGAGGAGGGAAAGGGAGGAAGAGGAGGAGAAGGGAAAGGGTGAGGAGGAGGAGGAGAAGGGAAAGAGTGAGGAGGAGCATGAGGATGAGGAGGAGGAGGAGGAGGAGAAGGAGGGGAAGAGGTAGGAGGACGGGGGAAGGGGGCGGGGGAAGGGGGAGGAGGGGGGAAATATGGGGAAGAGGGCGGAAGCGGGGGAGGAAGAACAACGGAAGGAAGGGGAGACAGCCGAGCAGGGGCAGGAGCAGGACGGCCAGTAGGAAGGCCCGGGTGCCCCCCCCGGGTCGCGCCAGTGCTGCCCGATCTGCTTCGAGTGCTTCCGGCCCGGCGAGACCGCGCCTCCGCCCGCGGCGTGGGTCCACGGAGGCGGGTCCGGTGGACCCCGGAGTTTTTCTGTGTCCCCCGTCCGCCTCGTCCCGTGATTTCCCGTCCTCGCGTTCCTGCCTCCGCCGGCCTGAGATGCATCCCTGCTCCTAAGATTGTCGGAGGTGGATAGACCTCCTACCCTGACACGTCGATTAAGGAATTGGCCGTGTTCGGTTCGCGAGAGGGCGTCGCGGCCGTCATCTTTGCGGGTCCAGGTCCGTCGGTTTCGGTCCCAGGCCGTTTTCACTAAGGGGAGGTCTACTAAAGGGAGGTTTGTCCACCGCCGAGATTGCCACCCCTCTGTCCTCGGCGCCGATGCGAGGGATCCGCCTTACGTTCAGGGTGCGCACCGCGTACCATAGAGCTGCTTCTTCCCTCTCTCACGTTCCCTCCTTCCCCCTCTCATCTCCCTTTTCCCCTCCTTCTCTCCCTTTCCCCCTCCTCCCACAATTACCAAAGATTCCTTTCCCCTATCCCTTTTCCTTTCCCCTCATTTCCCCTCTCCCTCTCCCTCCTTTCCCCTCTCCCTCTCCCTTTCCCCTCTCCCTCCTCCCCTCCTCCCCTCCTCCCCCTCTCCCCTCGCCCTCTCCCTTTTCCCCCTCTTCCCCTATCCCCCTCCCGCAATTACAAAAGATGGCTACTATTCTCGTTTCTCCCCTGACGCTGTCTGGAGAGTGTCCCGTCTTCTCCGCGCATTGCGTTTACACAGGATGCCATTATTGTGTTTGCCTGCGCGTGTTTTTCAATGCCGTCCTTCCTGGTTCTTCCAAAACGGTGCTCCCGCTGCAGCGCCGCCCTCATTTTGCGCGCCTCGGTCATTCAAAGTCGTGCTCCCGCTGCAGCGGTGGCCTCGCTCCCGCGCCTCCCGGACAGCCCTTAGCACTCGAAGACGCCCACCTCGGGCAGGCACGGTTGCGGAGGACCTCGAGCCGGCATTCGGGACAGGCCCTGTCGTATACGGGCCACTTACCTTTCAAGTCATCCGGTGCCATGCCACGGTATGCAAGCGATGTTGTGTTGTGCACCGGTGTGCGGTGCAATGCTTTGCGTTGATATGTTTTCCGATGCAGCGCTTCACTAAACAATGCCACGCCATGCTATAACATGATATGCTCTGCCGTGCTCTTCTATGCCACGCCTGTCCATCCTTCGCGTACCTTCTTGGGATCATTGCCTTGCTCGACATCCGACTAAGCGAATTGATAGGATATCTACGCCATGGTCAGGGCTGGCAGGGAGGGGTAGGACATCCGATGTGACGCAAGCGCACCTCGCTTGCCCCCCCCCTCTCATCCCCCCGCTCCCGTTCCCCCTTTCCCCGTTTCCCCTTGTCTCCTTTCCCCTCTCACTTCCCTTTACCTCTCTCTCTCCCTTCCCTCTGATCCTCCCCCCTCTCCCCTCCCCTCCCCCTCTGCGTCCCGCCCCCCGCGCCCGCTTCTCGCCTCCCCCCCCCCCTCCCGGGGTTCTTGCCCCCCCCCCCCCCTTCTCCGTTCCTCCTCCTTTTCCTCCGTGTGCGGAGGAGGGGCAGCAGATGGGAGAGAGAGGGTCCGAAACAAAAACAGCAACAAGAAAGGGTGGGTGAGTGAGTGCGTGAATGACTGAATGAGTGATGATGATGATGATGAGGAGGAGGAGGAGGATGAGGATGACGATGCAGATGATGAGTGAGTTGGTGGGTGAGTGTGTGATCGAGTGATGGTCAAGGTGATCAAGATGGTCTGTGTGTGAGTGAGTGTGAGCGTGAGTGAGTGTGTGTTCCTGTGTGCTCCTGTGTGCTGTGCCCAGAGAAAACAATAACCCCACTTCGGATGTGGGGAACTGCAACGAAAGAGGGGAGGAGGGGGCCCACGAAGAGACGGAAGGTGGCGCAAAGCAGGGCGAGCAGTGGCGAAGCCTCCCAGCTTGCTCTAGAGACCCACCAAGGAATAATGTTCTGAGAGCCTCTGTGTGGTCTGCACGCCTGTGTTCTCGGAACATGTTTGGCTGATATTGCCCTGTCTTCTCGCTTCGAGCTCATGCTCTAAGAACACGGTTTTTGTTCTCAGAACAGTTTGGGGGTTCTAGGAACATGTCGTGGTAGGCCTACAGGAATGCCGGGACGGTCGGTCCCTGCTCAAGTAGGGAGGGCGCGGGGCACAGGGGGAGGGGGAGGGCGGAGGACGTCAGGGTCGACCCCTCACTCGATGCTCGTGTGGGGGACCTTCCCTTGGCTTACCCAACGGATCTGCTCGATACTAGTTCGACCCCAGTTCGACCCAGGTTTCAAGCAGATTCGACTCGGGTCGACCCAGGTCGACGGACGTCAGACGCAGCTTCGACGCAAGAGTGAAGCGAGTGTCTCAAGGAAGTTCCACATAATGAGCATCCAACCATCAGGGTCTTTTGTTTTGGCCCCTCCCCCTTTTCATTCGGCGATGAATAGGACTGGTCCTAAAATATCCTCCTCCTACACTCCGTTCTCCCCCTCCTCCTGTTCCTCCTCCTTCTCCTCCTTCTCTCCCCCGCGCACCCGAGGCAGAAGTAGTAGTCGTCGCAGTCTCAACCGTAGTCGTAGCTGTCGTCGTCTTTGTTGCGCGGCGGGTGCCGCGGAAAGCAATGATTTAGTCAGCCCCTATTGGTGGGATCCCAGTCCTTCAATAAGGCTGACGGTAACATGATTAGTTACACTCGTAGTGGGGTGGGGGTTCTAAAGACCATTGGCGGTTATACGGAATGGCCCGCCTGTTTGTCCTCTCGTTTCCATGTCTCCCAGCACCCCCCTCCCCCCTCCTCCTCCTCCTCCTCTTCCTCCTCCTCCTCCTCCTCCTCCTCCTCCTCCTCCCTCCTCCTCCTCCTCCTCCTCCTCCTCCTCCTCCTCCTCCTCCTCCTCCTCCCCCCCTCCCCCCGCTCCCTCCGCCCCCCCCCTCGCCGCGTGGAGGTGCGGCGCCTGCCTTGCATGCACCTCTTCCACGTGGTCGGCTCGGACGCGCCGGCTCGTTCCCCCCCCCCTGCGCATCTCGGGGGGGGGTCACGGCGTCCTTGAGCGAAGCTTGCGGCACGGGCGAGTACATGGGGAGGGGGTGAGGGAGGAGAGGAGGAGGGGGGGAAGGGGGGGGGGGCAGGAGAGGAGGGGGCAGGGGAGGGGAAGAAGGTAGGGACGGGGGGGATGGGAGGGGGAGGGGGCGGAAGGCGAGGGCTGGGGGGGGTGGTGGGGGCAGGGAGCATTGCACGCACTCTGGAGCTGGAGCTTCCGCCGGCGACCCCTCGAGAGCCCTTCGGTGCGGTTGGGGGTGTTTGGAGATCACCCCTCCTCGTGCTCTTCCTCCTCCACCTCCTCCACCCAGAGAAGGGGCAAGCCACTGACGATGGCGGGGGGGGCGCGCTGCCAGAGCTCGCCGAGCAGGCCGCCGCACGCTGAGTGAGATCGGGCGTTTGGTGCGACTTGGTATGTGTTGGTTGCGGCAGCGGGGGTCGACGTCGAGCCCCTCATCCTCTCCCCTCTTCACCTTCCCATCCCTCACTCCAGACGGGGTGAGGGCCCGCACAACTGATGCGGGGTTCCACGGGTGGTTCTCTGGATGTTGTGGGAGACGCTCGACGGCCGCAGCTTGGGCCCGTACGGCGTCCGAACTCCATCGAACGTCGAGACCTCCCACCCTCAAGTGGGGATGGCTAGTTCCCAACTGCTTCCCCTCAAGGGGCCACTAGCGGATATTCCCCAAAGAGTGCTTGCACTGACGGGCTCTTACTTGTCTCAACCATTTGGGCACCAGTGCCAGCTTCTCGTGCCGCCTGTCGCCGCCGTCGCCGTCGCCGCCGCTCGGGGCGAGTGGCGGCTTCTGCGGGCGGTGCCGCCCGTCGCCGCCGTCGCCGTCGCCGTCGCTCGGGGCGAGTGGCGGCTTTTGCGGACTGTGCCGCCCGTCGCCGCCGTCGCCGTCGCATATCCCAATGCGACCCTACCTAGGAGTTGGGGCATCTAGGAAAGCAACATCAACATCTACACCGACAGCTACATTAACATATACACCTGCATCTACATCTACATCAACATCAACAGCGAGACTCACATCTACACGCTAGGGTGCACTCGACTGCGCTGTGTGATGCTAGGCTATGCTATGTTATGCTATGCTGCGCCATGCTATGCTACGCGATGCTATGCTATGATGCGCTATGCGATGATATGATATGTTAGGCTGCGCTATGCTAGGCTAGGCTATGATAAGATATGATATGATGTGCTATGGTATGATATGCTATGATATGCTATGATTTGCTGCGCTATGCTATGCTAGGATATGCACTACTATGGTATGATATGATATGCTATGCTGCACTGTGTTATGCTGAGCAATGCAATGGTTGGCTTTGTTATGATGTGCTGCGCTATGCTTTGCTATGCTATGACATGCCTTGTTATGCTGAGCTATGCTATGCTATGCTTGGCTATGCTATGCTATGCGGTGCTAATGCTGCGCTGCGCTAATTTAAGCGAAGGTAGGCTATGCTAAGCTAAGCTAAGCTAGGCTAGGCTAAGCTAAGCTGTACCCAGCCCAGCAAAACCAAGCTAAGCGAAGCTAGATCTAAGGTAAGCTAAGCTACGCTAGGCCAGGCTAAGCTAAGCTAAGTTAAGCTAGGCTCAGCTAAGATGGCATAACACCCATGCTATGATATGCGAAGCTGCGCTATGCTATGCTGTGCTCTGCTATGGTAAAGCTCGGCGAAGCTAAGATGAATGTAAGCTAAGCTAATATAAAACTGAAATAATATGACGCTAAACTATGGTACGATGAAATAAGCTAAGCTCAGATGATATAATCAACGCGAAGCTAAGGGAACGTCACTGGGGGAACCGCGGGGCGGATCCTGGGGGAACCGCCCAGGGCGTGCCCCACTGCCCGGCCCTTTAAGCCTCCGAGTAAGAACCCTTCTAGGCAGAGCCTCGGTAGGGAACAAAAGCAAAAACACATTCCACACAAACACACAAAAGACCCAGGGATTGTCCATTCACCTTGTCCGATTGCAATGTGCGAATGATGTTGCCCCATTGTCTACACTAGGTATGAACTCGCACCATCCCAGGGGGACCTCCCCCGCCCCGGCCATCCCCCCCCAAAAAAAAAATGCCACGCGCGCGCACTTTTTTATAACAGGTCATAAGTTGTCAAGACTCCCCTGCAACAGAAATGTCGAAGTGCACACGCGCGCGCTGTCGCACGCGAGCGACGACATCTTTTAACAACCATAGATTACGTAAGGGATTCTTAACGCTTCGCGTATTCCCACACCACAATTTGCCGCTTCCGCTCCCTGTCCGTTGCCTCGGAGCCGCCGACCAAAAAAAAATATCCCCACCAGCCCAGCCAGAAACGATCAGCAGGGGAGCTGGTGAATCAGGGGCGGCAGGACGCATGCAGTCGCGTAGCCGTCTTCGGGAAAACAAGGATTACACACAGCTTCCCGCATGAAGTTTAAGATGGACATACGTGCAAGTTACGATGGTGCTTCGATGGGGGGTTAGGGGTGTTTCGATGACTCGTAATGGCTGTTGCACTGATTTGTATCTTAAACTCGCGTGCGTTTCGAAACTTGGAGCCATCTTGGGGCTCTCTTGGGGGTCTCTTGGGTCCCTCATTGGGGCCCTCCTGGAGTTCTTTCTTGGGGCTCTCTTGAGGGTTCTTGGGGGTGGTCTGGGGGACCTCTTGGGGCCGTCTTAGGCCGCATTGATCAAAACAGATGGGGGGTCCTTAATTCTTGCCCCCCCCCCCTCGGAGGCTCAAAAATGCCTTCTTGGGCCGCTCTTGAAGCGCTCTTGGGGCCGTCTTGGGGCCCTCTTGGGCCCCTCGTGGGGCTATGTTGGGCCGTCTTGGGGCCAAATTGAGGCCTCAAGGGCCCATCGGAAGCGAAAAAGCGAGAAGGCAAACCACAATCCTTTTCCTTAGATTTTGAAGGGTTTTGGGCCTTTTGGGGCACTTGAAACCGTCTTGGGGCCGTCTTGAGGCCTCTTGGATGCGTGCCAGAGGCTATCTTGAGCCATCTACTGCTATATTGGGCCATCTTGGAGGCCATCTCGCGCTCTCTGAAGCCCTCTTGGAGCCATCTTGGGCCGAAAAGGGCACTCTGCCACCTCGCGGGGGAGCCCGTCCAGACGCAGGGAGGGGGGGGTGGAGGTGAACCTCCCGAACAGGGAAAGGAAGGAGGTTGGAAAATGCGCGTGCCTTGCGTGGGGTGCTCCTCCGATATTGTCCATGCTCTGGCCCCTGCGCTCTCTGGCCCTTGGTCGGGCTCTTGCTGCTCGAGCTGTTCTTGGTTGCCGGGGCATCTTGCGAGCAAAGCGCGACGCCCCTCTGTGGCAGGAGGAACAGCAGGGGGCCACGGACCAAATGTGCGGCCACACGTGCAGGGGGAAGATGGCGCGGGCGCAAGAGACGGCCCGAGCTGGCCGCAAGGGTGTCCAAAGTTGGCATCCCGATGGTCACCTTGGGCCCCAGGCTGGCTGACGCTGGCCCCAGGGGGGGGTGCCAGGATAGTCGAAGTGGGTCCCTGTTGGCCCAAGTTGGCCACAAGAGGACTCCTTCAGGCTGCCGACTATCTGAGCGTGCCCAAGAGTTGGCTCCAGGATGTGGTCCTTCCTCGTGCACTTCCCTCATGATCCCTCCTCCGTAATCCTCTCTTGTCCTCTACCCCATTTCCTCTTCGGATCCTCCTCATTCTCATTGGAATCGTCATGCTTGTCCTAGTCCTCTTCTTCATCCTTGTCTTCATCCCCCGCCGCATCCTCATCATGATCCTCCACCTCTTTGTTTACCTCATCCTCCCATCCTCGTCATCATCCCCCCCTTCCGCGCCGCTTTCGTCATGACATTCCTCATGACTCATGGTGATTATTTGTCCTTCATCCTCCCCCTGAAATCTCTCGTCCCTCGTTCCGCATCTCCGAATTATGTATTGTCCTTTTCCACCGCTCTCCGCTGCTCCTTCCTTCGCCTCCCACGCTTCTACTCTCCCTCTGTCCTCCCTCTGCCATGCTTCCTGCTCCCTTCCCCGCCCTCGTTGTCGTGTTCCTCCTCGGTGCTCACGTTCTACATATCACGCCCCCTCCTGATTTATCGCCGCCCCTTCTCTCTTTGTCTCATCTACCGGCTGCCTGTCCATACAGCCACCGTGCAAGGGTCGTGAACGTCGACAGGCACACTAGAGGCTTGTTTGGCTTGCTTCAAGGCATATTGGAAGCATCGTTGGGGCCTCTTGGCGGTCTCCCGAGGATTATTGGGGGCTTCTTGTGAGCCTGCTCGAACCTCCTGGGGCCTCTGGGGCGCATCATGCCGGCGGTCCTGGGGGGCGACCTTGGAGCGGAGGGTTCCCAGGCCCCTTCCGATTTCCCCCTCGTAGGAGCGTCGTGAAGGCCCTCTTGGGCGGCTCTTGGGGGACTCCTAGTGGACGCCCATGAGAACAAAGAGCCGAGCAGCGCAGTCAAACATCACACAACTCACTTGTGCTTGTGTTTGAGGCCTCCTGGGCCGCCCCCCAGGCCGTCCAAGACGGCCCACGAGGCTCCCGAGAGAACCCGATGACGGGCCCTGTTGGTAATCCCATTGCGGAGCGTGAAAGTGGACTTCCAACCACGCGCCGTGGGCCTGTGAGAGATTCCCGTGACGAGCCCCGGGGGCACCCAGGAGCGCACGGAAGTCTCGTCGGCGGGCGGGGTGGTGCCTTTGAGGAGCACCCGCCCGATTGTGGCGATATTCAATATTGAGGACCCCGAGAAGATTCTTCTCCGTGCCCATGTGGCACTGTTGGGCCCGCTGGCCCGCCACCCAGCCTGGGCCTCGCGCGCGCGGCGCGGCCCGCGAGAGGAGGAAGAGGAGGAGGAGGAGGAGGCGGAGGAGGAGGAGGAGGAGGAGGAGGAGCAGGAGGAGGAGGAGGAGCAGGAGGAGGAGATGCAGGAGGAGGAGGAGGAGCAGGAGGAGGAGCAGGAGGAGGAGCAGGAGGAGATGGAGGAGGAGGAGGAGGAGGAAGGGGGAAGTAGCTTCTCCACACCTCCTCCCTCCTCTTCGGCAGCCATTTGGGCTCCGCCCGCGGCCCTCGCGGCCGGAGGGAGGAGGAGCGACGCGACCGCCATCACCACCAGGGGGGGCCCACCGCCGGCGAGCACGTCCACGGTGACGCCCCGAGCCGGAGGCTGGAGGTGCCTTGAGCGGGGAAGGGGGGCACCACCAGGAGGACCCCCCCCCAAGGCTCCTCGCGCTGATGTCAAGGAAGTGTGTAAATATATATATATATATATATATATATATATATACATGTATATACACATGCTTGTGTACATATATATATATATATAGATATATCGTCGGTCTCGGTCCCAGGCCGTTTTCACTAAGGGGAGGTTTATTAAAGGGAGGTTTGTCCACCGCCGAGTGGGTGTCGAGTGCGCTCGACGCGTCGCTCGGGCGCCCCCACGCACCCCTGGCCAGCCAATAGCCAAGGCGGGGTCGTAGAATCAGCTCACGTATCTGATTTTCCCGCTGGCGCTGGAGGCGGCCATGTATCGAGGAATGGGCCCTTCGGTGGGGCCGATTCCAGCTGCATGCAGCAAATTTTGTACCCCCCCCTTCCTTATCCCCCCCGTTCATTCGGCCCGACAATGCTGTCATTCCATGTGCGAGGTCGTTTAAGTAATGTCGGGGCTCAAGAGACGGGGGTCTTTGCAGACGGGTGTCAGTCAGAGCCCTGGATCTTGGTGGATCCTGCAGGGCCAGGGGTGCTATGACCTGGGCTTGCGCGCAGGATCCTGCAGGATCTTGCAGGATCCTGCAAGGCCTGACTGACTCGGGTCTGGATTGCCACCGTCCCCGAAGGCGTTCGGCGCGTCGCTCAGGTGCCCCCACTCGCCCCTTGCTAATCAATGCTGTCATTATTAAACAATGGGATGCGGACAACACGGATTGGCGGTGCGGTCACAGGGACCCTACAAGAATGGTTGCGTTGCACTCGATGGAGGCCTGGGTCCGTTTCACTAATCCGTGGGTCGAGCTTCTCAGCGTTCCTGGCCTCGCCCGCGAAATCCGCCAACGCAAGTTGACGCGGTTTTTCGGGCACGCGTTGACGGCAGCATGGCCGTTGTCGCAGCAGCGACCCGCAACGCCCCTGACCAGCCCGAACCCCCTGGCGGCGATCGCAATTAACCTCCACGCAAACACAGCGCGCCCGAAATCTGACGATTTCGCTTTGGTTTTCCGCCAGGAGGTGGATGCGTCGATCGACGGCTTAGTTGCTTAATTTACTCCCCCCGCGCCCGCGTCACATGTCCACGGATCTGTAATCCGTATTAGCGCTTGCCTGATGGTGGTGGTGGTAGTGCCGCTTCCCTGAGATCCGACGTTGCAAAACAGTGCAACGCCGCGAGAAAACACTACCAGATACCCGGACCCCGTCTTTCTGCTAGACTCTTCGGGCCGGATCGATTTGCGCTGGCCCTGGGGCCCGGAGCCAGGCCAGACCGACCTGCGCTGGTCCAGGGGCCCGAAAGCACAAACCACGCGAAAACGCCCGGTGTGCGAGCAGTGCAAGCAACGGCCCAGATCTCATGGGTTTATCTTCTTCCCATTTGTGCTCGGCACCGCGATGTCCGAGAGGGAGGCGGTCGAGGCTCCGCCACAAAAATGTACGCACAGGCACCCTCCAATGGATTCTTGCTGGGCCTCAGGGAAGGGCGGCGGTGAGTACACATCACCACTGAGAGCCAGCGACTCTTTCCTCACCGCCGCTCTCCCCGAGGGTGGGCACGGAGTTCTTCGGAGGGAGTCCGTGTGCCTACATGTTCGTGGCGCAGAGGCTGCCGGCGCGGACCCGCCGGCGCCGCCGGCGAAGCGCCTGCGGGCTCGCCCGAAGTACCCGCCGCGGGGGAACCGGTTCGAGGGCCGGGTGGTGCTGGTGACGGCTGGCGGCGGGCAGCGGGGCGCGGGTCAGGGGCAACGGCTAGGGGAACGAAAAGTGGCATAAACGTAAAAACTCTGAGGTCCGCGCGGATTTCTCGGATCGGCGCTGGACCCCCCTCCCTGGCGCGCGGAGCGCGCCAGGGGTGGCGCCGGAGGCGCGGCCCCCCAGCGCCGATCCGAGAAATCCGCGCGGACCTCCGAGTTTTTACGTTTATGTCACTTTTCGTTCCCCTAACGGCAGCAAGGTGCTGCCCGTGGCCTGTCGTTTTGGTCTGCGGCCTTGCAGTTGCCGTTTCCGGGGCCCACAAAGCCTCAACATGTTCATACTATGTGTTCGTCGCCCCCCCAGGGGCGACGCGCGCGCCGAGAAGCCTTGCAGTATATGCGTCGTGGCGGGCGCTTTCCGGCTACGCCGCTGGAGAAACGATACACTCCAAGATGGGTATACTATATGCTCGGGTCGGACGCGCGCCTCCAGGGCGGACATATAGTATTAGCATGTCTCTGTGCGTCCCGTCGAGCCTCGAGCGATACGCGGTGTCAGAG